ATAATGTTATTTAAAGGATTATTATACCTTTTTTTTTCTTTTCAGACCACTTTTCATTATCACTCGGGGTACTGGAGTAATAAAACTGAATACAACCTTCCTGGAGGGAAGACTGGGTTTGACTCACAAGAGACCAAGTTACCAACTTACTGGAACACTTCTTTCTCCAAGATCTGTCTTGGTATGAAGATCGGCCGACAAATGAATTTCGCCGTCCTCAACAAGCAGGCCAACTCGCTGCACTCACTGATCGCTGACGGGCAATACCGCAACACCTCACTGGGCCTTAACGCATGGAAGACTCTGATTGGTTCCCAGGCCTCCTTACAGACCGCCTGTAATAAGGAAGGGCTCAATGTTGTGTGTGCTGTTAATTCATCATCTAAAGCAAGGATAGGCATCATTGGTGACGAGCAAGATGCCTGCACCATTTGCGACTCAAGAATCGGGTTTGGTGCTGGAGGGAATCCTGATAACTCCAACACGTGTGGAAACGAGGCAACGCACGCACCAGATAATGGCAACAAACACATCAAAGCCATGGGTTACATCCTGGTGCAGTAAGACGAAAACGGGCTTAGAAACTTTAGAAACCGCCAGACGATTGGCTGATCAACAGAACACAGAAAAGTGGACACTCGAAACTAAACTGAAGCTGGCATGCGCTGATTAATCAGTTTGTCAGTATAAGCAACAGCTATTCAATATTTAAGAAATAAAAAACATGTACCTCTATCGAGTTTTAGTAGAAATCTACTAGCATTCTATCACGAATGCCGTTCTCTGATTACCTACGCTACCCACTATCTATTCTGTGATAGAAAGTGAGTAGCGTAGCAACTGATGTGCCCTTACTAACAAAATAACGGCCGCTTCTTGACGTTTTCGAAGTGTCTGTCTGAAGAGGATTTCGATAATTAAAAGTTTTGAACAACTAGTAGATTTACACTAAAACAATTAGATTATTGGCTCTCGATTTCTATGCGTGATAGTTGACTTGGGCTGCGCCCTCGTCAACTATCACACGATAGAAATCTCGAGCTCATAATCTAATTGTTTAATAGAAACACGAGTGGAAGTTTGAGAGAACGAGAAAAGCTGTGGGATCACGAGCCGTGAGCGAGTGTGTCCATAGCTTTTTCGAGTTCTCCCAAACTTTCACGCGTGTTTCTATAACTCGATAGAAACACGGAGAACGTGTTTTCTATTTTTTTTAGAAAACATCGCGACAAAAAGAGGAAAACAACTTGTTAACTTTCATTATCAAAATGTAAATTATCTTCTTTCGCACCATCATTACGTCAACAGCTTGTGCTAGTTCTGTGCTGCACCCTCATGAACTATCACGCGATGGAAATCTCTAGCTCATAATCTATATGCTTAATAGAAACACGATTTTTAACCAATCAGCGCGCATATTTTCTTAGGACTGTTTTCTAAATAACAAATAATCTAACTGCTGGAAATGACTTGTTTAACTGATATTTAAGTCTTTTACACGCATGCACTGCACATGTGGGTGTGATCCAACATTCTATGAGGTGGGCACTCTTTAAATGATAAACTGTATAGTGTAATTGGCTTTCACGTTACCTCGCTTTATAATATAGAGACCCTGCGCGCTGGACTGATTGGTCAAAAATCTATGTTTTATCAGAGTGTAAAACATAGAGAAAACTTGTTTTACTGTTTTTTGCCACATTTGGTACATTTCCATCGTGTTCTCAAATGCCCGTCGTGTTTTATCACAGTGTAATACACGGCTTAGGCTTCTTTATTTGTTAAATATAAAATGAAAAGAACCAGCAAGGTTATTAGTCAGTGTCATAAACTCGCTACGGCGGTTAATTTATCTTAACCCTTTGAATATCAAACTTTCGC